CTCAGATTCAGAAATATACTACAGATTTCAGCACAGAAAGGCATTTCCAGGCAATTAAAAAACCACGCTTAATTGTCGACCCATGCCTAGCACTGTTCACGTATTACCCTGTGGGCTCACATAATGGAAGTGAAGAGTGAAAAGAATGGAAGGGAAGAGTGAAAAGAATGAAACAGAGTTATAAATTAGCCTCTCTTTGAAAACAATTACAGAAAACCCCTACAGTTCCTAAAGATGGTGGGCGAATGAAAAGGTAAGCAGGTAATCTACCACCACTGAAGTTCACTTCCAATGGGGAAATACACAGTGTTATTAAGAGACAATAGGTCTTCCCGGTGCCTTGCAAGAGCCAGTGGAATGTTCAGAGTGTTGGATTTGGATCTTGAAGACCCAGGTTTGAATCCCCACTGTGCCATGGGTACTTGTGGAGGGAGCTAGAGTCAGTCACTTTCTAATGGCATAGTCTGCCTCAGTGTTGCGTGAGGTTAAGCTGAAAGAGGTGAGAATTATGTAAACCACTTTGAATCCATGGGGGGGGGGTGACAGAAGGATACACATATCTAAATGGGAGTCGGGATATCCAGTGAGGTGTAGTGGTTGAGACCTAGGTTTAAACCCCCACTCTGCCATGGAAATGTGCTAGGTGATCATGGGTTAGTCACACACACTCAGCTTAAGCTACCCCCACAGGGATGTTGGGAAGATAAAGCAGAGGAGAAGAAAAGGATCCATCCAACTTGCTTTGGGTCCCCATTGGGAAGAAAGGTGAGACGTAAATCAAATCGAGTGCATGCTCTAGAATATCCTAGAACTATCTACAATATACACATGTTCTGGTTGTCCCCTAATAGATAATGGGCAGTGGCAAAGTTTCCTTCGAAGTATTTATTTACTTTATTGTCTGTCCTTCTCACTGAGACACAAGGCAGATTACACCATGTGAATTGATGCAATCAACAGGATGAGACATCTAAGAAGCAACATGATACGACTAGGATTACACAAATCTGAAACAGAGGCGGTGAAAGTCACTGACAGTGGTACAGTTGTCCACTTGGATATTTACAGAATATTTCAGAAGATTTCAACTTTAATTTTTATTTTTTTTTAAAAAGCAGGACATTGCTGAAATGTAGAACAGAGAGTACCAGCGGCTCTATTTAAACCCAAGTGCTCCCCTCCCTAAGTGTTGTTAACAGCCGAATGCTTCGTCCTTGGAGAAAGACATGAGGACAACAACCTTTTCTTTGTGGAAGTTCAAGGAGCTTTGCCGGTGAATTTTAAGCTACCAGTGTCTCCCACCAGGACTGGAGACCTAGCAGTTGTCCAACCATATTCCACCAACTCAGCTTCACATACCACACAACTGCTTTGAGTCGTCCTTCCCCAATAATAAAAATACGTCTGTTTCGATTTTAATCAGAAGCCCACAAACCATTTATAGCAGATGCTGGCGTGGTTTGTGTGGAGTACAGTTTGGTCGGGAACAAGGACAGCAAAGTATCCGTGCCAAGCCCAGCACCTGGCTCCTGCCGTCAGAAACCCTTCAGTCAGGCTACACAATCACCCAACCAAACACCGCCCAATAGCCTCACCAGGAATCCTATGCCAACTCTGTCCCTTCCTGGTCGTAATCAGACTGAGAAGCCAGGTGCAGCTACCCTCACACCCATGTTGCCATAAAAACAGTGCCTTACTCTCCTATCTCAAACACCCATAGATCACAAACTTTTACAGCCTCCCTGATTTCATTGCCCAGCTTTGTTTTAGCCCATTATCTTCTCGATTTAGAGACAACCTTCACAACACCACGTGTGCTGCCTGTCCCTCCTCAAGCGTGCAAAGTTGTACTACATGAAGCTGCATTCCCAAACTGCAAGACTAAGGTGACCGCCAGATCTCCAACGGCCCAACTTCACCCTCACAAGAGGTCAACGTAGAGGTTGGGTGGGAGAAGTTGCTGCATAGTTGATGACACTTTCCAAATTTAAGAAACAGTAAAAATCTAGACTGAATTCATGGCTTGGAGTTGGCATACATTCCAATCTACAGGTTTATATCAGGTTAAGATTAAGCAATGCTTTCTTTAAAAGTGTTTTACGCACACCTAACTCATTCCGCAACCCGAGAGAGAAAAAGAGGCTTGTAATTTGATGACCTCAACAACTGCTCCTTCAAGCCCTGAAAACTAAGGCAGCCACTGAAGTTGTCAAATATTTTTGGTCAGCAGGAGACGTCCATTGAGAGAGGGCAGCAGAAGCATTTCCACCCTTTCTCAGCCTCCCATCTTTGGAAGGAGGAACAGATTTCGGTTTCATTTCCACATGACTACGCAAGAGGCCTGAATCCCCAATGCCCTTCAACTCAACACGTGAAGGGGCTAGGCCACGGTCACTTTAACCCTACAAGAAATTCACTCTGCACATGGTCAGAGTAGGGAGTGAAAGTATGCCACAACTGGCAACGGTAAGTAAAGTGGTGTCTCCATCTTCTGCTTCAAGAAGCCCAACAGAAACAATACTTGACAGAAACTGAAGTTACTTTCTGCCCCTGGTTCAGAAGCACCACCACCACATTAGGGCCTAGAGATGAAACCCTGGAAAAAAAATTAGAAAATTGGCATGGAAGTTACAGTGTCTGGAGAATGATCGAGGGAGAGCCCCTCCACTCAACTACAAGGCTTAACATTGACAACCTCCAGGTGGGACCTGGAGATCTTCCAGAATTTCAACTGACCTCCAAAATCACAGAGATCAGTTGCCCTGGAGAACATGGCCACTTTGGACAATGAACTCCTGATGGCACCTGGGTTTTGGCCACTGTGTGACGCAGTAGAAAAGAGTCCAGTAGCACCTTAAAGACTAATAAAATTTGTCATAGGGTAGTAGCTTTCATGGGTCACTGCTCACTTCTTCAGATAGCATCTCCTACCCTACCACAAATTTTGTTAGTCTTCAAGGTACCACTGGACTCTTTTCTACTGCTACAGACAATCCAATATGGCTACCCATCTTCATCTATCTCCATGCGTGACACAGAGTGTTGGACTGGATGGGCCATTGGCCTGATCCAACATGGCTTCTTTTCTGTTCTTATGTCTGGGGCAGTGATGCCCCGTATTCTTAGTGCTTGGGGGGACAACAGCGGGAGGGCTTCTGAAGTTCTTGCCCCGCTGGTGGACCTCCTGATGGCACCTGGGTTTTGGCCACTCTGTGACACAGAGGCTGCGGTCACACACTCTAAATAATTCACTTTCAATTTACTTTCCAACTGGATTTTGCCAGTTCACACAGTAAAAATCCAGTTGGAAAGTGCACTGAAAGTGCATGTGTGACTGCAACCAGAATGGACTGGATGGGCCATTGGCCTGATCCAACATGGCTTCTCTTACGTTCTTACGCATTATACCCTGCTGAGGTGCCTCCCTAGGCTCCACTCCCAAAATCACCATGAATTTCCCAACCCGGTGTTGGCAACCCTGAGGCTCCACGGGCGATCTTAAATCAGCCTCGCTCTTTCAACTTAAAATTACCTCACAGAGGGCAGGAGAAACAAGGCATATCGGCTCTGCGGTAAGGGCAAGCAATAATCCTGCCCTAATAAAAACTCTGGCCGCAGCACCTACTTCCTTCAGCAGGGTGAGGCAAAACTTTGGATATTTTCTGTAGCCAGAGGTGCAAGGCTTTCAACTCTCTCGTTAATTATTTTTTTTTAAAAAAAACAGCAGTCAAGGGTGGGTGTGGGTGGGGTTTTTTTCTGTTTTTACAACCCTGATTCTCCTCAGAGAGACGGCATCGAAAGGGCAGCGGAGCGGGGGAGGCTGATTCTCCGCGCTCAACGGTCGCCGCCGAGGCGCGCGCGCCAGGCGGCTGAGCCCTTCCCGCCACGCCTCCCCCCTCCTTCCCTCCCGCC